GGCTTTTGTATTTTTCTTGGCATAGCTCTAATATAGAAACAGAACGGGAGGTTTGGATTGATGGATTAGGTCTGGAGTGTTTGCGGGTTCGTGTGGAAAACGTTCAGAGGTCGTGTCTCATGTCTGACTTGAAATGTGTAAAAACAGACCTGAAAGTTTTCCTGAACCTCTTCTTTCAGAATTCCCTGAAATGTCTCTTATCAAATAACAAGTTAACACAAACTTCTGCTGTGTTTTCTGTCAGGACACGGCCGGTCAGGAGCGTTACCGCACCATCACCACAGCTTACTACCGAGGAGCCATGGGCTTCATCCTCATGTACGACATCACCAACGAGGAGTCCTTCAACGCCGTCCAGGACTGGTACGTCACTGGCTGCTGGGCTTTGTCACGTGATTGGAGTGTAACCTGACTCCGTGGAGCCGCTACCTGTGGGAGGGAGTGCTGCGTGGATGATGGATTAAACCTTATCTGAATAGTCAGCAATAGTCTGGAAATAGATGCAGAGATACAGCCGATAAAAGAGGAGAGCTGATGATCCGGTTCAGGTTTCAGTATCTGCTTCCTCTGTGACTGCAGAACAATCAGATGCTGCAGTCATCGTGATCTTTTATCCTCCTGGTCTCCTGCTGGGACTTTGGCTCAGTCCTTAACCCTCTGTCTCTCATGCCCAGTGTCTTGGAGAAGCGCTTTTCAATGTGTGAGGATCTCAGGCAGCGATGTGCCATCTCTCTGTTTTAGTGTTACTCTAACAGCCCGCCTCAAGTTTAAGAGAAGAAAAAAAAACACAAATCTTGTTCACTGCACAAAGATAAAGTGAGAATGTAATGACATTTCCAGGGTTTATGGGTCCTAAAGTAGCTTATCCTCATATGAGGAAAGACAAATGTTCCCCAAAGAGATGTGGTGCAGCGCTGCAGGAGGAGGAAGGCACAGATTTGGCTTATTGTGCAATATTTTTCCAATAAGAAACTTCTTGTGGTTATCATTCTCCTGATAACACATTTTCTGTTTTAGCTCTGACTGAAGTATTTTCTCTTTGGTGAAATGTTGTTTCATCTGCTCTGCTAAGTGCAAACTCTGTGCCGAAGTCGTGCCGAGTTGATGGCTGCCTGCTTTAAAGGTCACGTTTTATGTTCAGTCAGTGAGGTCCACAACTTGTTTTAGGAACATTTCTCGCAGCTTTCTGTTCAGACGTCAGATGTTCTGAGTTCTCTCTCTGGCTGTGTCGGTTCGCAGGTCGACTCAGATTAAAACGTACTCGTGGGACAACGCCCAGGTGCTGCTGGTAGGAAACAAGTGTGACATGGAGGACGAGCGGGTGGTGAGCGGAGAGAGAGGCCGGCAGCTGTCCGAACACCTTGGTGAGTTCATCACACACACACACACACACACACACACACACACACACACACACCTCCTTTCTGAGTCATGTACTGACTAGAGTTTGTAGAGTGTCATTTATATTATTGTGATTGTTGCTTCGTCTAATTGTACTTTATGTTATTCCGGCCACTCCTGTGAAGCTGTGGTGTTTGTTAAGGCCCTGTTCTGTAGCTCTGACCAGATTATACGATGCATTGTGTCCACATCACACCTCAGTGATCACGTTCACTAAGATGTACACCACTTTGTGGATTTTTTAAAATGGGAGAAAATTTTTTTCTGTTTTTTCCAAGACTATTGTTTTTTGAGCTTTGGGGTCTTTGTGATACAGATAGTTTAAAATAGATGGGAAGTGTGTGTGAGGGGGGGGTGAGGAGTGTCATGCAGCAAATTCTTGCCATGGGTTAGAATTGAACCCAGGCAGCTGCAATAGGGATTTGTAGCCCTGATACATGAAACACCGACCAGTTCTGAACAAGGTTAACAGTTCTTACTGCAATAACATGACAGGAGTGACCTGCTTCATGTTTCTGTTCTCAGGCCTTAAACCCTGGCACCCAGAACGTCTTTCTCTGAGGGCAGTGCCTTCTAGTTAGTTGGTAGGGAGTTTGCATTATGGTCAAAGTGGTTAGCGTCACATTGTCGACCCTTCTGGGTTCAAACCTGCTGCTCGGTGGAGGCCTCTGTGTGGAGTTTGCATGTTCTCCTCGTTCCTGTGTGGGTGTTCTCTACGTGCCTCCTCCTTCAGTCCCAAGACATGCATGTTTGGTTAATTGTTGACTCAAACGATCCATCAGTGTGAATGGTGGCCTGTCCTACTCCACCTCTTGGCTAATGTCAGCAGGGATAGGCGTCAGTGTGCTCCTCCATGAAGTGGGGCGATGGACAGGTGGAAATGCTGACCTCAGGGAGCACTAGAGTCACTGTGCTTTGTTCTCTGGGACCTGTGAATAATGGCACCACCACCCAGACGATCCTCTCTGATCCTCTCCCACACCTCGTTCCCCTACAGGCTTTGAGTTCTTTGAGGCCAGCGCCAAGGACAACATCAACGTGAAGCAGACCTTCGAGCGCCTGGTCGACATCATCTGTGAAAAGATGTCCGAGAGTCTGGACGCCGGCGATCCTGCCGTCACAGGGGCCAAACAGGGGCCCCAGCTGACAGAGCAGCCTGCTCCTCCTCACCAGGACTGTGCATGTTAAGGCTGACTAACCTCCCAAACCCTCCTCCGCTGTCTGTCTCCTTGTCCTCCTTCAGCTGGACCCAGGTCCTCGGGTCCATACTTCATCACCCTTCTCACTCTCTTTCCTGCTTCTTTCTGTCTGTAGGATCATTTGGTTGATGGTCACAAGAACCAGCCTGTAAAGTGTCTGAAATGCTCTGAGATGCCAGTGGACAAGTTTTTGAGATGTTGCTTCTGGTTTCTCCGCATAAAGGAGCTAAAAGGTGTTGTTTTTATCAGTGCAGATGTTGGTCTGATGCCAAAGCAAGTTCGGTCAAACCGGAGCGTTTGAGACTCTTTACAGTCGAGGTTCTTGAAGGTGTCCGACCCATCTTCTGTTGGTTTCCCTGTTCCTCAGTGTGGTTTTACAAGAAGGATTTGACGGCGTACATCCTCAGAGTGCCATTTAAATCCTTCCAATGTTTACAGTACTTTGTTTCATGTCAGTCAAATGTCTTGAAAAGATGCCAGCCTTGGACGTGGTGACCAAGAAGGCCGCTGTGGAGTCACGTGGGAGTGACGATCCAGCTGAGATCTGCTAGATATCGATGTGTTGCATTTCATACATGTCAGAGATATTTTTCTTTTTGTCGTCTCACCTGGTATCTGAACACGGATACTGCAAGAATTATCAACCATTTGTTTGTCTTTGTTCATCTGAGCATTTTCATTTGGCCTTTTTTATGTTTTTACATTTCTTCAGCAAACTTTTATTTTGTATTCTCGCATTCTTTTTATTCTGTTCGTACATGAAAACACTGGGTGGGGAAAATATGAACAAGCTATAGCTAGGTGAAAAATAGCAAAAAAAGAAAAAAAGACACATTTTATTTAATTATATTTATTTCAAATGTACATATAAATGTTGTGCAATATATATAAAATATCTACAGGTATGCATTTCTGGAAATAAATTTTAAAAGGTATGAAGTTCTATGAGGATAGTATCAAATATAAGAGGTTTATGTCGTCGGGTTTGTTTGGATGATGTGTGGAAGAAGCTCCTCTGTGAGTCACCGTATTTCCTTGTTGGTTTCATGCTACTTCCAGAGATGTAGCAAAGTCAGAAATGTCCTAAGAAGCATCCAGCGGGATAAGTTGAAGTCTGAATTCCAAGTCGAACATTTAGTAACGGGCTTATCGTCCCTTAAATCCCCTCAGAGGGATTCTCAGCACTCATGAGGCCGAACATCTGAAGTCTAATCTTAGAGGAAGCTGCTTCTTGTTGGAGAAACTTCAAATCATAAATGTTGTTTGAAGCCAGACAGTGACTAGAATTAAACTGACATCAGGAGTTTTTTTTTTTTTAAAACAATGAAGCGAGTCCAGTAAAACCTCAGAGTCATCTAGTTCCTCAGTAGTGTTTTAAAGAAGCATGGCAAAGGTTTCCTCATCATGTTAGTGTTCCTCTTGTCGCTAACAGATAATGCTACATGCAGCTGTGCCAGCTAACAACGCTACAAACTGATATCACAAAATTTGGATCTGATCTAAACTACAAAGAAGTTCTGTTATTAGAACAACTGACAATTTCTGACATCAGACTCGAACAGAACTTTCAGTTTTCATCTCCCTAAAAGCTGTTCCTTGTAGCTCCTTTATCAAATGTCAAACCATTTAGACATTTCAGTGATCTCTAAAACATGCTGACATGGGTTTGGGTCATGCAAACAATGTTTTGTTAGATATTTTTATGGTATTTTGCCTCTGTCTGATAGTTAGCCCATAGGCAATGCAAGGAAACATCAGGAGAGAACAGGATGACGAGTGACAAGGATCCAAAACAGAACCAGAACCGAGTTTGTCGTCTTCGAGCGCTCGGTAACTGTGACATGCAGGCCTGGTTTCAACAATACTGAGACTGAAGTTGCAGTTTCTTTTTGAATAAATCAAACCAGAATCCCTCTGATCGACAGCTACGGTCATGAGTTTGTGTTTGACTGGCGTTGAGGCTTGAAGAGAGCAAAGGTCATGGTACAAGAAAGCAAGAATCAAGACAAGGAAATCATTAGACATACATGTAGCATGCATCGTGTATATTAGCCCTTTGTGATGATGGAAATCCAAAATGTCAGTCAAGGCAAGTTCTCATCACTTCTGATCACGCACATGACATCTGTTTCTAAGTCTAGTTTGCTCTCATTGGATTCAGGATTACAGGCGCTGTGTGTTTGCAGTTCACAGCCACTCATCTGTTTGACTTTATTATTTTGAGAAAGCAAGTGACATCCCATGATTTTGGAACACTGGAAGAAACGTGTCAAACTATAGACCGACTCTCCATCTTTCTTTGCTTAGTAACAAACACCACTCAGTCAGTATTACAGAGCAGCTTCACTGGACTCTGGTGGGCTCTTGTGCAGACGCCGGTTTATTCGTCTGTTTGTGTGTGATGTTATCTCTGCTCAGTCTTCAGGTACATTATGGAAAGCACTGTTTAAAGTCAAACAAGCATCGAACAGCTGGAGGCTGACTGCTCACAGACCAGGTAGCTCGAGCCGATGCAGGTGTTAAATATTCTGTTCTGGGGTATTCGGCTACTTTTAAAGTCAACATGGCGTCACTCATTTGGACATGCCTTCCCTCAGAGAGTATTTGCACACTTGTTTTAATACGGTTTCCACAGTTAAAAACTGGTTTGCCAGGTATTCCTTCTTTTCACCTCACCAAAGATTGCTGTAGAGGCTGCTCTCTGTTTATGCTGTCGCTCGCCAGAAGGAGCAGCGAGGCCAGTTTGGCAATTTTAAAACTGTAATCAGACAAGGTCTTCTTGGTGCAATGCAGTGAACCCTGGTTGTATGAAAATATTGTTTTATTACTGCTATTACAAGCTTGCGGGAGGCATTAAATAATAGATGAGGAGGGTGGCACCTATGGACTAAGAGGGCAAAGCACTATAAAAATCAATAAGATGGTCAAAAATCAGGGACTTCATAAAGCCAGTTTGTATGACTATGTGATTAAAGCAAATCTGAATCAGACAAGCATTTATCTGGAGTGTAACTGTTAGGACTGTTAAAGTTTCAGAAAATGAGGCCCCAGTCAAAATGTCCCTGTCAACGTAGCGCCGTTATATTAGAAAAGGGAGTGATGATTTGTTCAGGAATCATCACAGCAAACCTGGGAAGTGATTCTGATCCTGCATATATTTTACTTCTTACTGGTTGTGACTGTTTCTTTTCCAGTAAAATCTAAACTTTTAAACTGTTCTCCTTTCTAATATGTCTTCCTCTCCATATAAACCTGATATGTAAATACTGTACCTTTGAGTCATATGTGTGGATTGTGTTGTATTGACTCAAGCTTGCATCAAAAAACAAGAAAAAAGAGGAAAAAAAAAAAAATGACAGTAAAACCTGAAAACCCCAAAAGAGCCATGTTGTACTGTATCTGCATTCATTTCTAGGCCTGCTCGTGAATGAATGTGTCACTCAGTTACGAAGCAATACACACTACAGTATGTACACAAAATCAAATGCCATCCAGCTTGGTAGAGGTTGCCGACTTTAGATCTTCTACTAGCACGCAGAAACGTGTAACTTTATTTGGTCTCGTATCACTGCCTCTTCAAATCCTCCTCGGTTTGGGCCATTAAGGTGAGAGAATATGCTGTGGATGTTTTTATCTGTACTTTGTGGTAAAACAATAAAAAAGTTGCTAACAATCAGTTGACTGTTGTTTTTGAAGATTTTATGTCCTCAGTGTGAGAACCGCGAGCGTTCATGGGTGCTGTTGTCCGCTTCGTCTTCAACACCCCCTGATCAGATAGTAGATTTAAAACCCAAACAATGAAGTTTAGGTTCAGAATCATTCCAATTAATCAATTGTTTTGGCTTTATAAATACTCAGATTGATCAATTGTTATTTTGGTGGCAAATGTTTGGCTGTAGGCGGCACAGAGGGGTGGACGGTTAGCCGGTCGCCTCAGAGCTAGAAGGTCCGGGGTTTGAATCCTGACCCGGGATCTTTCTGCGTGGAGTCTCCATGTTCTCCCCGTGCAGCGTGGGTTCTCTCCGGGTTCTCCAGCTTCCTCCCACACAGTCCAGAAACATGCTGAGGTTAATTGGTGATTGTAAATTGTCCGTAGGTGTGAATGTGAGTGTGCTTGGTTGTCTGTCTCTAAGTGTAGCCCTGTGATAGACTGGTTACCTGTCCAGGTGAACCTGCCTTCACCCTGAGTCAGCTGGAATAGACTCCAGCCCCCCATTACCCTAGTGAGGATTAAGCGGTGCATAGAGAATGGATGGATGTTTGGCTGCTACTAGTTCCAACATCCTCAGGAGGTCACTGTTTCACTTTTCACTGACAAACAATGTAAAAAAAAAAATAATAATAATAATAAAAAAATCTCAGCAACAAGATGCAGCCTGACAAAAATAAGGATGCTGCCATCCTCCTGAAGGGATTAAAAACCCAAATAGTTGTTAATAGTATTAATTTAAAGCTACATTTTATTTGCAGAATTAAATCAGCAGCTCTGTAAAGAGACAGTAATTTGCACATCTTGCTGTTCAGGTCTATTCTTACTTTTTTTATTCTTTTACATATTTGCCTTTAACATTTACACAGACAAATAGATATAAACACATTTGGCATATTTGATTTAATCTAATCTGAACATTCCAGATTCTTGTTAATCTGCATGTAAACCCTCAGAGCAGCTACTGCACTGTCATGTGTATGTTTGTGAGCTCTTCAGTGTCATTCAGAAAGATCATCTCTTAAATAGGAAATGTTAAATGCTCCTTTTTAAAAAAAAAATTAGAGCTGGGTTACAGATAATAAATACTTTCACAAAGTACAAGTCACATAATGTACATTTAATTCTTTCTTTTTGTTTTTTTTTCAATAAATGGAGCCACTTGTATTTATTAACTACCTTGATGAAAACAAAGATGATGGTGTCAGAGTGTGAACATGTTAACATTACACAGACCTACTACACTTTCTGTGTGAGGAGAGAGAAAATCAAAGGTTTTGATTCCAAATGCAAATATTTCTTCACACACACAGATATGAACAAAGTTGCAGGACAAAAAAAAACGATGCACACGTTTAATATCCAGCAGACTAATCGTGTGACAGCTATGACAGAAAGGAGCTTGTGTGTTACATTTAACTTTATCTAAACTGTATTGACAAGACAGACATTAAGACGCACACACTAGCTGCTGGTAATAGCTACTGATAGTAACGTTCAGTTTTTGAGATCTCATGTGTTACTGCGTCAAAGCAGCTCAAAACTGCTTGGCAATATAGTAGTCAATAAAAGACCAATAAACAACATTTTTGTCTGATGATCAATAGCATTGCAGGAAAGCCTGTGTGATTTGATTTAATTCTGGCCTGCCGGGGCGTCAGTACCATTCAGATAAATCAAACAATACTCATTCATGTTGACACTGTAGGCTGTCCTCTTACCCTCATCCTGCTCTGCTCGACCAAACGTCTCTTCTGTGATCTTGAAGGCTTCAGAAACTATTTGTCAAGAAGCCTTTGCAGCAGCCATCGCACTTGCAATTCCCCATTTAACCAGCAGAGGGAGAAAGACACCAGGCTGATGATGCAGAATGCTGCACACTCTGGAGAGCAGAAATCATGAAGCCAAAATCCTATTATTGTGTAACACTCCCTTCTCTGTTTCACACTCCTTTAGAGGAGCAACCTATAATTTATTCCTGGTAAAAAAAAAATAACGTACATTAAGTGACTGTGCAGAGACTACAGACTGTTGTTTTCTGAACTGTCACATAAGTTACAGTAAAATGTCCTTACATCAAACTAAGCTGTCTTAGACTACACTCATTTCTGTGGAGCCAGATGTGCAGACCTAAACCACCCATTCACCTCCAACATCTGCTTTACTTCTGCACACACTGATTTTATCATCATGCATGTAAACATAAGAGTGACCAAAACAGAGGAAACAGTGTTTATTGCCGAGCAGCATTTAATTCAGAACACAACGGCATGAAGCCAAATAACTGTAGGCTAGAGGTGTTAGCAACAGTCAGTGCAACAGAAAAGGTTACGACTCTTCACATTTAAAACAAGAACACACTGAAATAGGGACACAGTAGAGTAAAAATAGACAAATACATGTGCGTAAAGGTTAAAGATAATAAACACTGATTAATTGCGCCCTCTGACACCCAGCTGTGGGCAACATTCGAGTTTGTCAACAACATGCAAATTGTTCCCTACAGAAAAACACAGTATATAGACTATATTTGTAGATTCTCTCTTACATATCAAATGTGGGTGTATATGCATTTTTCTTACAACCAATTTGTCATATATTAAGGATATCTGTGTCATAAATGTGCATATTGTTGTAGAAATATCGTCAGTCTGTTTGGTCCAGGTTGGAGACTGTTAGCTGACAGTCCGTAAACATTTTTACAGCCGAAAAATCAACAAGATATGTGCCATGTCTCTGTTGTCAGAGTTGATCATGAAGCCCACAGAAGTGTCTCTTTCTCCCATCAGGAAGGCCTGGGACCATTGAAAACACTGGCAGGTCGGTGCTGCCTTGTTCACCAGGAAACATACACACCAGGTAGAGCAGGATTAAACACACTGGTTTTTAAACAGGCAAACGCCCTTTAATTCAGCCCAATTGGTGAATGTTTACTGAGAAAAAAATCCAATAAACTGATTTGATCTTTCCAGCAGGCAGTGGTTGGATCTGGAAATTGCTCTAGGAATAATAAAACAAATAAATAATACAGCTTGTCCAAATCTACTTTTGCCTCATAACAGAATGTCATCATCCACTGTGTTGAATCATGTTTACCAGGTATGTTTACATGCCGTCAGTCCTACAAGGCGTTTTCAAACAGCCGGTCATTAATGCAGCCTCCGGTTTGGCCTACGTGGCCTGGCAGTCATCCCTGGAATCGGCACACATCTGGGCTAGGCTACATACAGAAAAACCAACATTAACAAAGTCCATGGAGCTTATATGCTGGTCGGTAGCCCAACTGCGGGTCTGTCCCTCAGACTAGTGCACTTGAACTTCGTGTGGCAGCAGCTGGCAGCCGCTGCTGACGTGGGTGAGGACTTTCTGCTTCAGCTGGGCCACTTGCTCCCTCAGCAGGCTAGCCGTCGAGGCCAGGTCGGTGTTTTGGCTTTTCAGTGTTTTGACCTTGTCCTCCAGCCTGGAGATCCGCTCCAGTTTGCGCCGCCGACACTTGGAGGCTGCGATCCGGTTCCTGAGCCGCTTCCTCTCGGCTTTGATCCGCTCCTGAGAGTCCATGTCGATGGGAGACAGCGGCGGACTCTCTCCGAAGCTCTGCACGTCGGGGACCGTCTGAGGCTCCTCCTTCAGCGGCTGGACCCGAGAGAGCTCCGGCTGCGGCGGGGCTGTCCCCAGATGATGTGACGGAGGAGGCGGGAAAGGGACCGTGTCCGTGGAGTAGTTGACAGTGGTTCCCAGCGGCCCGCTGCCGTAGCTGTTGAGGTTTGTGTACACCGGCAGATCCGGCTGCACGTTGACCGGAGCGATGTTCGCGCCGAGATCCATGCTGCTGTTGGTCTGTCCGGCTCCGCTCAGCTGGTTCTGCTTGTGCAGGTCCTCCAGCGCCTTCACGAAGCCCTCGGCGAACTCCTGCTCGTCCGTCACCGTCTTCGGGTAGAGGAACTGGGAGCTGGTCGGCGTCGTGGTGACCATGCCGTTGGACTGGATGATGAGCCTCTCCAGCTCCGGGGAGGCCAGCTTGAGCAGCCCCAGGTCCGGGGAGCTGAGGATGCTCTCGGCGTCGCGGAGGTGCGGTTTGAGGTCTGCGTCGTCCGCCAGGCTCAAGTTAATATCCTTCTTCATCATTATTTTCGTGGGTAAAATGACAAGTGGTGCTGCTGGACCCTCCCTCAGAGCGGTGTCCTGCCCATAACCTCGGAACCGCCGTCAAATATCTGCTGTTTGATGAATATTTCAACAGCTGGCTGGAGCCGGTGGCGGTTTTCTTCTCCTCCTCCTTCTTGTTCTTCTTCTTCGTCTCCGCTCAGACACGAGCTGAATGCACGCCCGCGCGCACCGCCTCGAGCTTTTCTAGGCTGGCACGTTCCATTATGTCACAGCAGAGCGCGCGCATTGGGCAGATATTACGTTTTTCAGGCTTTTATTTGAATAAAGGGACGAACCGAGCAGAGAGGAGGAGACAGACAGAACTCTCACTCTGAGCCCCGGTCCGGACACTCACCTCTCAGCACGTCTTTAGGTCCAATAGGTATCTGTCTATCACCTGGGTACAGCCTGTTTTTATTTATTCCGCATAGAAGGCTTTGATTTTCAAAAACTTCCAGCTATCATGAGTCTTTAAGCTTCTGGCAACTGGTAGAAATGTATAAATAGGTTACATTTCCCTTCCTGACCATTAGATATTGTTAATTTTCATTTTAGGTGGTTTTGAGTTGAGTTGATGTAACATTTTGACAGGACCAAATAAACCTGTTTGTTTGTTTGTTTTTACTGTTCACATTAAGGTCAAGAATTATCTATTAGTTTCAACATAACATTACAACAAAGTGAACGTGTAAAACTAGTTAAATTAACTGAAGTTCAGAAAATAAGTATAATAAACCTAAGATAGTACGCTGAATCATCTAGTCCCATCGACAGTAAATACATAGTTTTTCAGTTTGTCTTTTAACATTGAGGATTTACAGCCTCAGCTGTTGAAGCCATTTTTGAGTCAGTACAAAGACAATCTGTCAGACTGTTCCAAGTGACTCTGGGATAAATTTAAAGTCTCTCACCTGTTGATTCATTTACCTGATCATTTTAAGTTTTAATGTGGTGTTAAAATATGACATTGTAAGTTTTATTATCTAGAAATTTGCAAAAGTCACATGTTTACAGTAGGCAAACTAAACAAGATGAGTTGATCTGACTCTCTTCTAATGTTCTACAGTGTGGTGTACATTATGTTTTGTGGTGTTGTTTCTCAGTCAGTTGGTTATTTTGTCGCAGTAGTTTAGAATGAAGTACCTGCACTACTATTGGATGGATGAAATTTGATCAATTACATTCATGGTCCCTAGGGGTTGACCCCTAACAATAACTGTCACATAGTTACTCATTTCCTTGTCTGCGTAGATGCTCAGTCATCTAGGTCAATTCAATTCAGTTCAATTCAATTCAAATTAGTATGTATTATAGCCAGGAATATTTGTATTTTGTGTATTTTTTTGGAGGATTTTAATCCATAATATGTAAACTCACACCATAAATAACACTATGGGGTCTTAACCCCAATTTACAAATGTAGTGGTGCCTCTTTAGGGGCCTTCCACATTGACACAGGGGTTTATACATATTCCAGTAGTCAGACCTCTGCTCAGGTTTGAGTGTGGCAGAGCTCTGCCAGCACTTAGCTGAGGTCACCAAACTTTATCTAAGGTAAACACAAATGGAAACACCCGTGGGGATGGACCACACAGGTGTAGGGACAATACTTTCCCGGTAGTCTATAAATGACCATATCTCATTCTTTCGGAGACTTTGGGGTTTCCCCTAATGGCAAACGTTGACTTTTCCATAGAAAGGACACTTTGTTGTCCCTTGAACCGCTGGCTGAGAGGTGGTCTGAGTGGGTTTTCTCAAAACACAGCAACTACGGAGATAACAAAATGCACCATCCTTTTCCCCCTCACTTCCACCGCATATGGAAACAAACAGTCATAACACAATATTTATCAAATCAAAAATCAAGTTTATTGTCATTTTGCTGTACATGCACAGTAGTACGGGCAAAATGAGAGAGCGTTTCTTCAGGATCCAATAACTTAAAGCAATTTAAATAGCAAAGTGTTTGCATATCTGGATCAGCAGTTCAGCATTCTGACAGACTTACCTTGATAAACAGCAAGAATGAGAACTACAACTCGGCTCTGTGACCAAATGATGATGCATCCCTATGTTAGACATGGAGCACAAATACAACCTTTTTATCATTATAGACAATTTACCAGTTTCATTTTTTAGAAGACATTTGATACCAGCTCCGTTTCCATGGAGACGAGGAATAAAATACAAACAGTGAGGTGGCACACTGAGGTCTGATGTCCTGGTGAGTACTGACTGGTACATGTCTTGTTTTCATTTACAGACTAAAACAAAACCTGGAATGTTCAACAGCATGTCTTCAACATTTCAGACAACAGGACATGTACTCCTGTTGTGTAAGATATCAAGTGCTTGTATTGTGTTCATTTTGACATTTGTTTTAAGAACGATACCAGTTAAACTGCAGGATATCATAGATGTGGTAGTTTGCACAATTCTGGACAGCAACAGCTGTGCTTGTCACTATACAGCTGTGCGGTCAAAGCTGAAGTCTTCTCCGAAAAGACAACTCACTTCTGTTTTTGTGCCCTCATCCCAGACACTTGCTGTATTTCTGGACATCAGAATTTGGAGAAGTTGAATCTGAAACTGGTTTGATTTCAACATTTCCTCTGGTCGGAGAACACGCTCGTAGTTTTGGGTTTGAGTTTAATCTGGTCTTTTACCCAACAATGAAATAATCATTGCAATTTGTGCATTTCCACTCAAGAGTTTCCATTTCTCTCCCACTTTAACTTTCCAGTTTGAGATTGACATGATAGTAGCATCCATTTAGAATTTCAGTATTTTAAATTCCCCTTTTAATATTTTATGATCTGATTGAATAGAAAGACTTTCTAACACTTTATGTGATGATGCTGTGTTTCTTTAGGGTTGGCACATTTGGAAAGAATTTTTTAGACTCTCCCTCTTCTTATGTTCAGTTTTGTTTGTTTAAGACTCCTATGATTTTAGCACTCTTTAACACTATAAACTCAATACTGTGTACAAAAAACATGCTGTACACACAATACATAACATAAATACAGCTGTACTGAGCATGACTTGAAGATTAATCGTTGTTTTATTGTGACAATCTTGTGTTTGTCTTCCTCCGTTTTCATGTGATGTTTTGTTTGTCACTTCATTAATGCCCCGAAAAAATAATTAATCAATATCCAATGGTATTAGGGACCAAACATGAGGGAATAATGGCGTCTTGTTTCCTTAATTACCAGTTGTGTGGCTTGTAAAGGGTTACACAGAGGAGGTATGTGCGTCACAGGTAGGCCCCATCTTTCACTGCAAAGCTTTGTGCGGGTGGATCACATGACGAGCCCTGTGATGTCAGATCTCCTAACACTGTGGCGGAAATGGAGGTGGGGGGGGGACTAAACCAACAGAGAAGAGATATTTTTGTCTAAAAGCTGTATATCATTGTAGAGTGAGAGAGAGTGGGGGTGCTGAGCCTGCAGGCGGTAGCTGGAAAAGGATGTGCGAGTATATCTCTCTCACACACATTGTTTCGTTTTCTTCTCTCTTTAATTTATTACAGGCTGATAGGAAATATGAGCAAAACACATTCACAAAGAAAACAACAGGATCTTTTTTGTGGATACTAAAGTTCTGCTAAATTAAGACTTTCTAATGAATTCTAAATAAAAAAAATTGAAAACATGACCAAACTGTTAGGTCAAATAAAAATCTGTCTTTTAATCACGATGTGTAGTTTAGGCATGGCTGCAGTGCTATTTAGCTTTTTATGAAACAATGACATGACCCTCATAATAAAAAAAACAAGATTCTGTAGGAGGAATGTCTTCAGAAGTGTCAGGTCAGTTAGATGTTTTTAAGCACATCAGACACCACATTGTGCTTTGTTCTGTCTTGTGGCAGCCAGATGTGACACACTACAGCCTGTCTACATACTATAAGCACATCCTGGAAGTACAAAGCCAAGAGATCATCGCTACATTTTCCTGGAAAAAATATAAATACCTAATGAATTTGATAATGAGCTGCAAGGTGGAGCAGTGGTTAGCACTGTTGCCTCGCACCAAGAAGGTCACTGGTTCACGTCCTGGTGTGGACACCCGGGATCTTTCTGCGTGGAGTCTCCATGTTCTCCCCGTGAGCGTGGGTTCTCTCTGGGTTCTCTGGCTTCCTCCCACAAGGTCCAAAAAGGAGGTTAACTGGTGATTCTAAATTGTCCATAGGTGTGAATGTGAGTGTGCTTGGTTGTCTGTCTCTAAGTGTAGCCCTGTGATAGACTGGTTACCTGTCCAGGTGTCCCCTGCCTTCCCCTAAGTCAGGGGTGTCCAATCCTGGTCCTCGAGGGCCACAGTCCTGCATGTTTTAGATGTTTCCCTCTTCCAACACACCTGATTCAACTGATCAGCTCATCATCAAGCTCTGCAGAAGCCTGATAACGATCCTGATTATTTGAATCAGGTGTGTTGGAAGAGGGAAACATCTAAAACATGCAGGACTGTGGCCGTCGAGGATCAGGATTGGACACCCCTGCCCTAAGTCAACTGGGATAGACTCCAGCCCCCCGCGACCCTCGTGAGGATTAAGCGGTGCATAGATAATAGATGAATGGATGGAATTTGATACCTTTTTTTTTTTTTTTACTCTTTATGTCTAATGTTTAATATTATTCACAATCTTGCTCTCCCTCCATGGTGAGGATGCCTGGCCTATCAAGGCAGTGGCAGGACTAGAGCATCTGTTTAAGGTGACTACAGTTCAGAAAGACAGCCTTTGGTCCATCTGCTCTCTCCGTCATAGCGAGTCATAGTGAGAAAGTGGATTTCCATCCCCACTAACATGGCAGACTCGGGAAGCCTTGCAGTGTTTAAAACCTGCCTCAAGCTTTGGCTAAAGTCAGCGCTGACATGTCCCCACCAATGACTGCTTTGTATTTATTGTATTTATCATATTGATTCTATTTATTATTTCATACTGGAGGATTGTGTTGTGTTGTTTTACGTAGTGTAATTGTTTGTCTGTGGTTGTGTTTTGTACCTGCTCAGAGGCAACAAATGCAAATCAGCTCCTCACTAACTTTCATGTAATATTGATTTTTAATCATTAAAAAAAAAAACCTTGATTGATCAATCAGTATTGTAACAAACACAATTCCTGTCACGCAGGAATGGTTAAAATACATACTTAAATAGATTCGTTTTTTTAAACCTACACAAAGTGTGTGTTAGAGGCACATAAATAAAGTTATTGATTGGAGAAATATTTCTGAGTTACATAAGAGGAAAGGCTGTCTTTATGCACACTGTTCTCACTCAGATGGTTAAATATACAATGTTTTTGGCATTGACCTTTATTTCATGCCAAATTCATAATGTTAATTAACAAAATGTATGTTTCAGTCACCGCTTATTAACATTTCTTTTTGGATTTTTTCAATTTCACACCTGTTTAGCACATTCAGTACAGCAATTAACAGTAAACAAATAAAAATACAAATCTACAGCATCCAAAGGGAACAACTATATGTAGTTTATATTTATTCTTCAACTTACAGACAATATGTAACCTATCAAAATTGGTTGTGGAATTCTCCACATCCAGTTGCCATTAGAGAATAGGTGTTTGAACAAAAGAACAATTGACTGTCCTGCTTTAATTGTAGACATTTTTAACTAGATGAGTGACAACTTCACCCTGCTCGTGATCAATAAACTCATTAAGATGCATCCTCT